TATTTGCCCCTTCTTAGGTTTTCTGGAAGATATCCCTTCCTCCAAAAAGCCGTTCTAACATTTTGTGTTCGTTTTTATTGATTTTTTTAATAAAGATAATAGCAGATGGTAGAAAGACGACTGGGACGACATTAAAATACTTCATTAAATAGTTATCACAGTCGTTTAGCAAGTTAATGGGATAATTTTGCCACAGACTTTTCAAACAGCAATTTGACTAAGCTAGCTAATCATAAAGTAAAACTTTTCATTGTATAATTTGTAAAATAAATTATCACAACAATAGCAAGTAGAACATACGAGTACATGTAAATTTCATTGTTACCAAGTGCCGATGCACGTTAACGTATCATGCATTTTCAGCGGCAAAAGCAATTGGAAATAATATTCAAATTGAAGTTAGTGGTACTTTATAATGTTCACAGCCCGTGAACGTTCGATGGAAAATAATTACACGTGAGCGCTTTTAGTGTGAATGCACCTTTATTTAGATAACTGTGCTTTGTGCACAACTTTGAAAAATTGGTCGGTTTTGTAAAAATAAGTTTTAGTTTTTTGTTTAGAACTTTTCTTATTATAAAGGCAATCACAATAGAAAAATTAGAGCTGAAACAAAGTTTAAAATGTTTCTGTTAGATGTTATGTTTAAAATTTTCATTAGAAAAAATTTCCATACAAAATAATACAGTTTGCCTAATAGTTCAAAAGTTCTCTCTAAAACCAATTTAAATTTTTAGTTTTTAGAAAAGGTATTAAGGTACACACAGACATAATTCTAAGAAAAAATATTTATCATTAAACTTTAAAGTAAAATATAGGTCGCTCAACGAAAGTTGAGGCGAAAACTTACTCACACTGATGTAATATTATACAAAACAATAACAACACATCTACCTCACTCCTGTTAAATATCTGAAAGCGAGACAGAAAGCACTAGTCAGTCTGACTATGCAAAACGTCAGCGTAGACAGCGTATACAGACAGATACAAATCGTTCCTTATGTTGAAGGCCTCAACTTTCTTCGCGCGATCTATAAACATCATCCGCATTCACAAACGAAAGCAGCAAATCGAACGCACATCCTTGAATAGAGCTCTGTGATTGGTGTGACACCCTGTGCGTCCACACGCACTGTGAGACCTCATAGTAATATTTGTGAATACGGGCGTTAGTTGCACCATCTTAACTATAACCAGTGTTTCTATATGGAGTTTGAGAGACTTTTGACGTTTGTTAAAGTTAATGTAAGATGGTGCAACTCAGGGTTATTGTAACAAAAAATTACAGCTCTCTAGTGCCAACTGTTTCCAAGCAAAACCTTGGACAGACAGACAGACAGACAAATAGACAGACAGACATATCTAAACTATAAGGGTTCCTTGTCAGGACTACGGAACCCTAAAAAAGACACAAAACTCACCTTAAAATGCAAATTGTTTATGGGCTGATTGAAGTCCCCGCTGTACCTCTGGTACTGCTTCATCAGCTGGTTGTCGTAACCCTCGGGCAGAGGAACTGGTCCCGCCAGGGGAAGGCCCATGTTTGACGTTAGATGCAGGGTTGGGTGCAGGTCCGTTTCAGAACCGGCGTTTGAGTTGTCCTAAAAAGGAGGGGACACCGTTATACAGGATGACTGAGTTTGTATATTCTCAGCACTGCCAAGTTTGTCTCGAAATGCTAGTAGGAGAAAAAAATCACGAGACATGACAAGCTCAATAAGTAGTTGTATTTAGTTAACTCCATCCACATTAATGTATTCTTTTGATAAGATACTGATATTTTGCTAATATTGATAAAATTGACAATAACAAGAGGTACAAAAGTTATAAGAATGAAAATAAATGATTAATTTCCTAAAAATACTTCTGTATCCAATTTCAACCAAACCGGGAATATGCCAATATAAAACATACTCGTAGTTAACGAATTAACTATACTTACTATGTCACAGCTACCTTCCACCTGCCTCAGTTCCAGCTTCAGATCACTGATATTGGAACTCCTATCGCTATCCTTGTACTGGTCAGCGCAGTTCTTCCCAATATCCGTGATGTCGGGCTTCTTCACCGAAGGGTCTGACTTCTTAGTCTTCCGGTGGCACAGCATGATGATCAGCATAATGATGAGCACTAGGATCGCTGCTGAGGCGCCTCCGGAAACTATCAGGATTAGGGAGTTGGTTTCTGGAAAAAAATATCAGCTGTAACTTCTTAAATAGATTGATGGTCTCTTGAGGGTAAGTTACTCCAGATCTAACAGCTACGTACAAAAAAACAATAAATTAGAAATCGACAATTTAGGCAGTCTTATTACTAGCAAGGGATCTTTATTCACAGTTCCTTAGTTCAGATAAATATTCTGTCAAAAAGAAAAGAAAGAGACCAGTTCGTCAATTCAGAGAGATTTCCCATCGACAGTGAAAAAGGGGATGTAGACTGTGTCTCTTTTCATTCAGAATTGATATTCAATTCACTTGTTTCCCGGGTGAGATTGATATCAAGATCGTTTGGTTGGCCTATAAAAATGACTCATACTTACTGTCAGCCACCAGTTTTATCTCAATGCTGTCCATCCCATACAGATTGGTTACAGTGCAGTTGTATGACCCGAAGTGCCTCGATTCACTCTTCCTTATGATCAACGTGGATTTGGTCATACGATCTGCCAGTGATTCTTCCAGGAAAGCGTATTCCTAAAAGAAATCAAGGTTTTTAATACGATTATAATCTAGTTATGAATTGGCAACAAATATCTGGCAACTTTAAGGCAAATTTAAATCATCATCATCATTGTTTCAGCCACACGTCCACTGCTGCACATAGGCCTCCTCCAATGATTTTCAGGTTGGCCGGTTGGTAGCCACCTACATCGAGCACCTTCCTTCTACCTTTTGAGGACTTTGAACTTCTCCTATGTTCTTTTGATTAATTACGTTGCGGGTCCAATCACACAATTAACTTTCTACCGGGACAAACTTGACCTTCACTGGTTGGGTTTTTATTGGCGGTTAAGCTGTATGGCGGTGATCCCGCTACACAGGAGTTGCAGCGGTGTGAACGAGAGGTGGAAATAGTCCCATATCTTTTGAGGTCATCTGTCCACCTTGTGCAAGGACGTCTTACGCTGCGAATTTAGGTAGTAGTAACAAAACTTACTTGGTTGTGGAAGGTATTGATCTCACTCCCCTCATAGGTCCACATGATGTAGTCTGGCTTTGGAACTGAGAAGGAGACGCACTCTATCCTCACGCTGTCCCCTTCAACTCCATATTGGGTGCTGTTTGACGTTATTTTTGGAGGCCCTGAAAAAAACCTTTGGTGGTTAAACCAATACAGTAACTTAACAAAATCTAAGAGTGTCTACACTATTTATGCCACAAGAGAGAATCCTTTATCTAGCAATGATGACTGTTTAATTATAGGTGGACAACGGTAATAGAAACAGACAATAGTGAAAACAAATAAATCCAAATCGAATTGACTATAGATCGTTTCATCCACGAAAACGCACCCCACCAATTTATGGTCGAGAGAAGCGCGGGGTGCGGGGTGTTTGATCCGAGCAATCCGAGCGTCATTATTGTAGTGTGCGTGTGCACTCATAGAATTTAGCGTGTACCGATAACACTCAAACATTGGCGGAAGAATGGTGAGGCGCGTCTTCGTGGATGTCACGATCTATACCTATATCTTTTTGAACCCCTACAAAAAAACTACATAAGTGGATTTTAACAAATTTTAGCGACGAAATCTCGGTAGTCAATAAAATTAGTCTCCTGGCATTCAACTGATTCCTTTATTAAACTAACAATCAAACAATATCCATAGCAAAAGCAACTGTCTAGAACATGCCATCTTTGACATAGCACAAATAATCCGAGCCAATAAACTGCAGGTCTACTCCGAAACGTGTTTACGTAGTTCTAGGTCTATCTGTCACTATCGCTCATGCTGGCATTTCGCTTTGAGTGAGAGGGATGGCAGCATTCGAAACTTCGGATGACGTTTTTCGGGGTAACCCCGGTGAACTCGCTGGAATAGACGGAATACCAAGTCCCATGTCAACTCCCTAACGAGTTGTCTCTAGGGCTGACGCGGCGCCAGCTTGCAAAATATTTTCGGAGTTGAGAAATGAAGGGTTACTTTTACTTGTATTAATCATCTAAAGAAAAAGGCAAATAAATTCCATCTTTAATGGGAAATAAAATGGAACTTATTAAAGCGACAAATCTCTTTGTATAAAAAAGAAACAATTATTAATGAACAAAGTTTCTCTTTAGTGTAAAATCGAATAGATTCTTATTGTAACCATTGCCATTTTTTGTTAATTTTTAGACTCGCTTTTGCTCACGACTTCTTCTGCGTAGATTTGATCACGCCAAAGAAGTTAATTAAGGGGGCAGTATAATCCCATTCCTGCTATTGCGCATAATTATGTGAAAAATCTATAAAATTTCTGTCATTTACTTCTATTTCTTTGTAGTTTTGTTGCGAAATAACTATGGAGATACCTATAAGTGCACGCTAAGTACATATCGAAGCTGTCCAGTCCAGTCTTGATGAAATAAGATCTACCTACCAATTGTGAATAAAACCAGCGCTGTCTAGGGCAGGTAGTCCTTGGCAGCACATGTTGAGCCACCTCCATTTTGTTTTTGTTTTTTACCTTTTTATTGTAATTTTGTATCTTGTAATTTATTTTTGTGTTAAAAAAGCAATACATTTTGGACTCAGCCTTTTGGCACCCCTATCTGTCAGGTGGTCGCTCGAAGGTCATTCGGAGCTGGAGTTTGCGACTACCTAAGGAAACTTGTAACCCTGTATCACTTCGAAATATTACCGTCGTTATGCCAGTTTGATGACGTAACGGCTTTGTAGTTTCCGACAAGTTTGAAGCCCATTTGTTTTTGAACTAGCTTATGCCCGCGGCTTTGTCTACAGTTGTCATAGAATGGACTGATGCCATTCAAAAATGAAGAACGTAGCACACTTATCAACCCGCAAAAAGGATCGTGGCCGTATCAACTCGAGGCGGTCAGTATTCTTTGTATGAAACTCCATACTGCAAAGCACACTTATCCGCACCGTAATATAAACGCCTCGCCTCGCGGTTGACAGCGCGCTAAAGGCGATGACAGCTCGCGAAAGGCGATATGGTGTTGATTCCTTTCCGAGTTGATAAGTCATTAATATCAGAGTAAATACAAATGAGTAGGTCATCTTCATAGAAACGCCCGAGCGCGGTTTGTATGTGAGCGCGCCAATACGTATGCGGCGCGGACGCACACACTGACAAAATTTAGCGTTGATTAGCGGTGAGTTGCTCCGAATTTTGTCAGTGTGTGCGTATGCGCCGCATACGTATTGGCGCGCGCTCACATACAAACCGAGCTCGGTGCGTTTCTATGAAGATGACCTACTCATTTGTATTTACTCTGTTAGGTAATATGGTTTTCTAACTGGTGAAAGAATTTTCTAAATCGGGGCTTATTCATTTTTAGTACTTATTCCATGAGTTTTTAGACCATGAAAGTTTCAAACATTATAATAAAAATAAAATTAAAATAATGAGACAGTAACAAAGTAAATATTGAATTTATTTTCTTACCGTCTCATTTGAATATTACATTAACTTCGGTATTTCTGCTTCTGTCTCTTTCACTCCTACAACCTTGGTACGAAAGAAAAAAGGACGGAAAACCTTGAAATTATATTGCGACGTAGACGTACAGTTGTACGCGACAACTCATTAGGGAGTTGACATGGGGTCCCTATTCCAGTGAACTCAGCTTCATGTCAAAGATGTCACGGTAATAAGGGTGATTTTGGCTATGATACTGTTGCTAATGATGTGCCAAGGACAAATTGAATATATCTACAGACTAGCTNTAGGTCATCTTCATAGAAACGCCCGAGCGCGGTTTGTATGTGAGCGCGCCAATACGTATGCGGCGCGGACGCACACACTGACAAAATTTAGCGTTGATTAGCGGTGAGTTGCTCCGAATTTTGTCAGTGTGTGCGTATGCGCCGCATACGTATTGGCGCGCGCTCACATACAAACCGAGCTCGGTGCGTTTCTATGAAGATGACCTACTCATTTGTATTTACTCTGTTAGGTAATATGGTTTTCTAACTGGTGAAAGAATTTTCTAAATCGGGGCTTATTCATTTTTAGTACTTATTCCATGAGTTTTTAGACCATGAAAGTTTCAAACATTATAATAAAAATAAAATTAAAATAATGAGACAGTAACAAAGTAAATATTGAATTTATTTTCTTACCGTCTCATTTGAATATTACATTAACTTCGGTATTTCTGCTTCTGTCTCTTTCACTCCTACAACCTTGGTACGAAAGAAAAAAGGACGGAAAACCTTGAAATTATATTGCGACGTAGACGTACAGTTGTACGCGACAACTCATTAGGGAGTTGACATGGGGTCCCTATTCCAGTGAACTCAGCTTCATGTCAAAGATGTCACGGTAATAAGGGTGATTTTGGCTATGATACTGTTGCTAATGATGTGCCAAGGACAAATTGAATATATCTACAGACTAGCTTTTGCCCGCGGCTTCACCCGCGTGAAATTTAGTGTCAGAGTGGAAAGTAAATGACAGGTGATGATGTACGATAGTGATATCCATTGATCGAAGCCTGTATGTAGATATATTTTAGTTCAAATTTTGCTTAGTTCGAGGCTAAAAAGGCGCAGTGTAAAATATCCGAGGATTATTTACTATTATTATGTATACTTCTTACCTCTTACAAAAATCATGGCGGGTGCTTCAATGTCTTGCTGGCTGTCGATGGTGGCTTTACACCAGTATTGTCCTGCAGACTGGGCTGTCACCGTGATGGTCAAGTTTTGAGATTTGCCCACTCTCTGTGTACAAAAAAATAATAATTTTAATGTATGATTCTAAGGCTGACTTGCATCAACTTAGGTGCTTTAACCTTAACTAAAAAATTAACTGGTGTTTTTTGTAAGGAGTTCGACAGATATGGTGCATTTCAACCTAAATGTTTTGGTAACATAGTTGTCTCATATTAATATAACATGAGGATTAATTGAATAAAACAACTTGACCTTACTGGGTAATTAGAACCCGGGTCTGCTTGAGTTAAAATCACTGCACTGGATCACCATTACATTAACCGTAAGTCCAAAAATACTTACTATAACCCGGTCGTTTTCATAGCGCAGCCATAGAACCTTCGGGGATGGATGGCCATCAACCTTACAGCTGAGGGTAGCTTGCGATCCAGCTTCCACTTCCACGTTCTTGGGACGCTCTAGGAAGGTTGGTCCATCTAGACAAAAAAAAGTATTGAAACATAGAGTTAGCGCCATCTATCGAAAAACTGTGAGGTTGAAGAGCACTAACGTAATAGCCAGCACTAAAGGCAAACGCCCGTATTCACGAACATTACTATGAGGTCTCACAGTGCGACACACGAGCCAATCACAGAGCTCTATTCAACGCTGTCTATCTATCTATCTATCTATGTCAGCCTTTGGGTTCGCCTTCGAACATAGGCCTCCTCTTCAACCCTCCACCGTTTTCTGTCCCTGGCCACACGCATCCAGTTCACTCCAGCCTGCTGTCGGATATCATCTGTCCATCGTTTAGGCGGTCTTCCCCTGCCGCGGGTGTTGTTGCGGGGTCTCCACTCCAGGGTCTTTCTGGCCCAGCGATCCTGGTTTGCTGTACTGTTTGTGAATACGTGTGAAAGAATCTAACTTTAAAATTACATCAACTAAAACTTTACAATCGTCCCTACTAACATAAAGGTACCAACACCATGCTTCTCGTTCAATTTATGTCAATCTTTATCGTCTTAAAATTATAATATCAGTATCATAAAATACAAAAATGTTTAATCAAATAATGAATTTATTCACTCTTTGATCTGGACATAAGTATTATCTAGCTAGATGATATTTTTTCTCAACACTAGTCTACATTTACTCTCCCAAATAAATGTTAGGATCAAACAATGAATTTGAGACATCATAGCTCCTTTTAAAAGCTTTATGGCAAAAAATCAAAAGGTAACTTTTATATGAAATGGTAAAATATAAATCCATTAATAATAATTAACAGAAAGACAAACTCGAGGGAAGGAAACAGGGTCATAAACTTGCATCCAAATACAGAGTGCTTTAATGTCCGTCCATGTTGACATTGTATTAACATAACACCGGTCTAATGGGGTACTAATCCCTTGGAAGTCCGTTAAGTCATTGACTGTAATGCGGGTTTATCGACATGTGAATTTGAGGCAATATCGATAAATTAGCGAACAATAGAGCTCAGCACTAGTGATGGGAGAACATAGACACAATAGGTCAGCCCAAAACTCCGCCACAAGAGTGGCGTTGTCAGTAGCCTTCATTGAATCTTCCTGCGTGCAGTTGACCTAATGCTTCCTAATGCTAAAAAATAATACTTACATGCCACTTCCAAGGTCTTCGTATCGGCACTCTTTCCAATGATATTGTGCACCTCACACTTGACTGTAGCCTCGTTGTATGACCGGGATATGTTCTTCAGTACCTATAACAAAATACATTATACTGAAGCATCATTCTATTGAATACAACGTACCTATCTAGTCTGTGAAAGTTTCATAGCTAATTTAAACTTGATAGTTTCGATATACAGCCTCTCATCATCATCATCATCATCATCAGAAGTATGACGCGTACAATACGTGGTCGCCCCAAGCAAACTTGGCGGCGCAATATAGCAGACGAGGCGAAGCCAACGGGCAAGACCTGGAGCGAGATCAAATGCGAAGCTCAAGACCGAACGCGATGGAGGACTGTTGTGGACGCCCTCTGCCCCATTTAGGGGACATAGGACCTTAAGTCAAGTCAAGCAGGAGTATGACTTTTCGAATCTTCTTAATAGGTATAACAGTTGTTCATCACGAAAACAACTTTATAAAGCCACGATTTCAAATATTTACACGACCAAGACTCATGAAACTCGTTTCAATTTTTTTCAAACAAAATATACCCTCGCCAGGCGAAAGGATAGACGTGGTATAGTTTTGAAAACCCCCTCAACACACCTAATGAAAAATGTATATTGCAGGTGTACCGTGTGCCAAGAAGAAATTTGAAAATTCTCCTCCGGCAGGAAATGCTCTCTGGTACATGCAAATGCAGCCTGTAAAATTAATACGGAGGGAATATATGGGAGTCTTTATTACAGAGCATCCTGCTAACAAAATTATGTGGAGCTAAATGAATTGTTAAGTAAGCTACTTTATGGATGCAGGAAATGAGCGTTAGGCAAATGTTTTTAACAATGGAAATAATGTGCATTTTTAGCGAACTATAAAGAATAAAAGCTGTAATATTTAATTTAAAAAAGATGTTTTGGTAGTTAACTTCTTCAAAATATATTTACGGACACATAAGTACCATTTTGTGCAGTTTGCAGTTCATATTTTTCTCTATTTTGAAAAAATAACCTCAATAATGGGGCAGCGAAATTCTGGAGTGGAGGCCACGTACCGGAAAGCGCGTCGTGGGTCGTGCGCCCACAAGTTAGACTGATGACCTCATAAAGGTAACAGGAAGGTGCTGGATGCAGGCCGCTACCAACCGGTCCATGGAAATCATTGGGGGACGCCTATGTTCGGCAGCGGACGTCCAATGGCTGAAATGGTGATGATGAACTTTAATGAATAAGAATGACTTACCAGCTCACTGCTGTCACCAACTATCTGATCGTTGTTCACGTACCACTTGTATGTGAGTTCGTTAGGGTTGGCAGATGCTTGACAGCCTGTAAAAAAGTTCTGTTGTTAGAAAAATAGTCAGTTTTATACGTAACAACAGCTGTGGAGATGCAGTCAAAAACAAAAACACAGGTGTTACACTTTTTATGTATTATTAAAACTAATCTTACTAATAGTTTAAAAACAAAAGCATAAAAATACTTTTCTAACTTGAATATTACGGTTTTTATGGAAAAATTAACCTAAGTCCTTCTACAATCCTAAATCAACTTACAAAAGGTCATCAAATTGCAAGGTCAAATCGCACCAAACTAATCCACAATAACATTAATTTTGTTTAGAATAGGTACAGAGTTCTTCCATATCTTTGATTCGTAATTGCCAAATATGGTGTCAGCCATGTTTTAATTAAATTAAATCATTAATTAACCACCAACTTATTATCAAAAATGCACTGTCAGCGATGTAACAAAAATTTAATTACTCATTTATCATGAACTCCCAGTTGAACTTACTGCATCCAACAAGAAGCGACAAAATCACAGAAGAAGACCGAATGAAGAATACTTAATTAAGTGGCAATATTTTTTTTGATGTGTAGTCCCTAAGTCGCCTCTTACGACACCCGCGGGAAGATTAGGGGTTGGTGACAAATGTATTCTACTCTGCCGTCACCACACGGCTTGGGACTACACATCAAACAGAGAATGGGCAGCAGCGCTCTCTGAAAAACATCAATATTTTAAACTGCGATCTCCAACCCGCCTGCCTAGCGTGGAGATTATGGCAAAACCCTCCACTATAGTGGAGGAGGCTCATAGTCCAGCAGTGGACTGTAAAGGGCTGTTGATGATGATGATGATTGATTTTTACAAAAGGCAGATAATAGCTCAACGCGTGAGGCATCGGACTGCCCAATTCGAGCAATCGCTAGTTCAGTCCCCGTCATAGCTATTGCTGTGGCACTCCTTACGCACAAGTTCGTTCGTTCGTTCGTTTCAGCCAAATGACGTCCACTGCTGGACAAAGGCCTCCTCCAAGGCTTTCCACAATGCACGGTCCTGCGCTGCCCGCATCCAATTACTACAAGTATACACACAAGTATTTTAATATTATTCTATATCACCTTTATGTGTCGATGACAACTTTAAGGCAATAAGGCTGGCTTGTACCATCTTACTTTGACTTTAAAAAATGTAAAAAATAGGTAAAATTCCGTACAAAAAGCACTGGTTTGCAAATCAGCCTAAGCAAGTGAAAACCAACAATCTAAACTTAACTGTGACTGGAATGGTATTGACGTGTTATGTAACTTTATTTTGAGAAATATCGGAAATTAAATAAAAGACATTTTCCGCTTGTATGTACATAAAAAATTGCAAATTGATCAAAACCACAGCCCTCCTTTACAGCGTAAGTCGGTTAAAAATATAATCGGAAATGCTCCTTCTACCACATTTCCGTTCACCAAAACCCAGTCTCCGAACAATAACTCACCCTCACACAGACCATTCGTGAGATTTATTTTTATTTCCGGCTTGGAACATGCATCATCTCATACGGGAACTGTTTTCATTCTTGTAATAATAATAAAAATGTTTCAAGCAACGCTAGACGCTTTAATATTGTATGGGAATAGAGTGAGCATTCGAAACCGAGGTCGCGATGTTTGAACTAGCTTTTGCACGCAGATTTGCGCGAATTTGGACTTTCACTGGAAATACTTTGATGGGAAAAAAACTGTGATGAAAACTATGTATAATATGTTTTACCGTTCGTTCGTTCTTTTTCAGCCGAAAGACATCCACTGCTGGACAAAGGCCTCCCCCAAGGATTTCCACGAAGAACGATCCTGCGCCGCCTGCATCCAGGCACCTCCCGCGACCTTCACCAGATCGTCGGTCCACCTAGTGTGAGGCCTGCCCACGCTACGTCTTCCGGCTCGTGGTCGCCACTCAAGAACTTTCCTGCCCCAGCGGCCATCAGCTCTACGAGCTATGTGCCCCGCCCACTGCCACTTTATTTTAGCGATTCTGCGGACTATGTCAGTCACTCTGGTTCTCCTACGAATCTCCTCATTTCTGATTCGATCACGTAGGGAAACTCCGAGCATAGCACGCTCAATCGCCCTTTGGGGTGACCCTNGTGACCTTGAGCCTTCTTATGAGGCCCATAGTAAGCGACCATGTTTACCCTGGGTCGTAAATTAGCTCTACATAGTTTGAGTCCCGGGAAAGGACTTTGGATAGTTTTTATCCCGCTTTTTGAAACAACGACGCGCGTGATATAGTTTTTCTGTGAGACTGACAGACAAATTATCAAAATAAATGAGAAATTAATGCCATAAACCGTTCTATACCAGTTAATTATGTTATGTTACCTGAAATTGATGAAATCTTTTTGTCTCCAATTACTTGATGCTATAATAGGATGTGTGAAACGATTTATTATAAAGAAACTTACCAACAACCAATGTATCTCCTTCTTGTATTCGACCTTTATTCACTCCGGATTTGAGGGACACTCGGACCTTTGGTGCGTATTGGACCTGAAACAAATAAAACTTTTAATTATGGATGCCTAAAAGGCGACTATCCACTGGACCGATCAAGTGAAATCGGCAGTGGAAGACGGCGTATGTGACTGCACCAGACAGTCTGCCTTCAGAGAGAGATGGAGGGAGATCGTGCGGAGAGTTTTAGCCGCCTCTACAACCGAGGTGAACAACACCTCAACATGACCACGACCGCTCTGCCAAGAGCGAAACGAATAAGAAGATTAAGAAGAAAAGTCGACTAAGTTCATTATACGAAGATTAGGTCTAGCCAGGGTGGGGAAAGTTGACCTAATCTTCTATCTCATTCGAAAAAGCCGTACCTACTCCTGCAGTGGAGACTGAATATGATCTGATGATTATCTGGATTGACCTTTCTTAGATTAATAATTTCATCGTATATCTAAGTAGACTCAAGATTGTAAGCTCCTGAAAATCAAAAGAAGACCACAAAGCAGTAGATAAAAATCCTAAGAGAGCTTAGGTATTATCCACCTATAATACTTATTACCGTCTTTACATTTTTAACTTTTAAAATGGCATAATCTCCTCTCCTCCACACATATTTCCACGAAGGCATCTAATGTAACATTAAAAATAAAACAAAAAAGATTCAGCAAACATTGAACCCTATTTGCAAATCCTAGATCACACTAACGCGTTTCAATTCTTGAATCACATTTTGTTAATGCTAGCAAAATCAGATTATTCTTCTCAAACAACTTAAGGTTCGGCCAAACCAACGGGTGCAGCCGGCGCGCGATAACAATGGCGATGGCGATCAGATGTCGTGTATAAATTTGTAGCGATGAGTTCACATCACAGACCTGTCATATACACTGGACTGGCTTCTGTCATAATATTTTTGTGCCTATTTGAGTTTCGTCATTTTGCCGCTGTAGGCCATACGATTGTCCATATAACCACAGAATAATAATAAGTACTACGTACAGAAGTTTTACTTCGCGAAGGTATTTAAAAAATGTATGCTCAATGTCGTTAACAATATGGTGTAATTTAGCCTGTCTCAAGAGTCAAGCATCATTTTGTTGACAAATGTTAGCTATAGGGCTGACTTCGGTAAAATGATGTGACGTGAGGTGACAAACTGCGGAAAATGGCGGAGGAAATACATGATTTAGCATGAATTGTCATGAATAATATTAACTACTTATTTACCTCTCAGTGTCTTGAGGCAACTTAAAAAAGTACATTCTGTGTTTGTATTATTATTTAGGCAGTTAAATACTGCACAGTATTTAGTACACCATTTTCTTTATTTTCTTCCATCATACACAAGAATACGCGTGCGTGAGTCAATGTTCGCTCGTATGTGAGGCCTTGTCGAATAGTATCCTGTAGGTGGGCCATCGTGCGTGTTTTGTTTTCGATGTAAGCTCGCGGAGATGAACAGGCCTGATATAACTAAAATTTGTGATGTCTTATGTCGCTTACTCATGTAATGTACGTCAAAATTAGTTCTAGGGACAATCGTATAGGCGGTTCAAATTGCGACACAAAATTAGCTGTAATTTTTATGGATACAGCCTGTCCAGTGTGTAATATTACAGGTTAGTGGTTCACATCAACGCGTCCTGTCATTGGTCGCGGCAATCTATACACACGCAGTGATCGCCATCGCCACCGCTGACGCGATCTGCACGCGTTGGTTTGGCCGATGCTTTACACACGTACAACCTCACTCAAGAGTATGCAAAGGTCTTTATTCAACAAACAGAGTTGGATACAATTTTTAAGCCCACACTAGCGATAAAAGGGACTTAGATCTAGTGTTGTTCGGTCAACTTATCGATAATTTTATTTTGTTGAAGATGCACGAGTCTCTGAGCCTGCAAGGCCCTACATCTAACCATGAAATATTTATTTTTTATTTAAATGGCTTCAATTCTCGTGAAAATATCTTAAAATACTCGTAATTTGAATAATTTAGTGCTCTTACTAAACACTTTTAAAGTAAGACAGGTGTACCCAGACTTTTCACGGACTTAATTATGTAAACTGCTTTAACGACTATCGTTTAAAGTTAAGGGCAATTTCATGCTTGTTTCTTGACCTTCCAGTTCTAGAACTTACGTGAAGTTCTAGTTTCAAATTCTCAGGCAATTTAAAGCAAATTGAACAATTATGTCTCATAAAAATGTTCCCAGTCTTAGTTTTAATGACTTAAGTAACATTTTATCGACCTATCGATACCTATCGACAAGTCCACGTCTCCACACGAGCCTGCTTCAATTGTCAGACGATTAAAGCAAATTGAACAATTATGTCTCATAAAAAATGTCTTTGTCTTATTTATAAAGACTTAAGTAACATTATATCGACCTATCGATATCGATAAGTCCACGTCCCGTCTCCACCCGAGCCTGAAGTCTAGACGAAGCCATACGATAGCGAATTAAACCGAAGACACAAAGTGTCGATAAAACCTTTGAACCGTGTGTTTTATTGACAAAACGATATGTTGTATGTCTACAAACTAGATGGTTTCATGTTACTTACTTGTACTTAATTCTTTAGATAGGTCTAGAACTCAGTCAGTGTCTCTGTGGTCTAGTGGTAAGACCACCTGCTTCAGACGCAGAGGTCCCGAGTTCGATTCCCAGTGGGGGCAGATTTTTCTGTTCGGTTTGGTTGGTGGTAGGGCTTGTTCTAAGTCCGCCTGGCTAGCTACCACCATCTTGCCTAAGTCTGTCGCCATAACAACAATGTTAACAGCATTGTTGTGTTCCGACAGTTAGAGGTAAGATAGCCAGTTCCTCCGTGGTTGAGGAATCTGGCCTGATCATCACTTACCATCAGGTGATACAGGCCAAGAGCTTCCTCGTTGTGAATAAAAAAAAAGTGCCTAAGATATGGGAGTAGCACGGGTTTTTGGGGCGTCAAACGTCAACGAGACTTCAAAATAAAATGTGTTTCAGACTTTAAGCTTACTTATTTTATAACCACTGCACTGTGTAAAAGCTGCGCACGTGACATTGGTGGAATAGTGTGCCCTCAGTGGCGAAAAAACGCAAGTTCATCGCCATAAACCAAAGAAGAAGAAGAAGACTTTAAGCCTTCAGATATGTCACTGTCACCCGTCATGTGCCGCTACTATACCTCAGGCACTGACTAAGTTAAACTCTAGCTAGACCAATGATATAAGTGTTTGAATATTTTAGATTGTTCATGACAGTCAATTTTCTCTCCAACTTTTATCAATTTATCCATTAGTTCAACTTGGCATTCTCCCCATGCTAACTACAAGGTCGTTTCAGCCGAATGAAGTCCACTGCTGGACAAAGGCCTCCCCCAACGACCGATTCTGCGCTGCCCGTATGCAGGTGCTTCCTGCAACTGTCGCCAGATCGTCGGTGCATCTAGTGGGGGGCTTCCGTCTCGCAAAAAATGTGGTACTGACTATTGACATACAATTACAGGCACGGCAGTGCCCCCGCCAAGTCGAGCGCGAAGCAAACACTGCCGTACCATCCTTTACTGGATTTATTATTTTTCACCTAACAGCAATAGCACCTAAAATAAATTTCTAAACTATTTGAAACTCCAAAACGAATGCAAAATGCTAGGTAAAATAGTTTCAACATCTTGAAACTAACGCTTCTGTTGTTTACTCTTTGGTTTTTAGCTTTTTCTATCAAAGTTTCATTTCAAACACTTGCAGCGATCTAATCCAGTGAATTTCTACTGTCTTGAATTATTTGAAGATCTTTCGCTTGCAGCTTAGTATCTTTGAGAAGTTCCATGTGCAACCACATTTTTCTAAATAGAAAAGACAATGGTGGATAAAGAGAAAACAAATAACTGGCTTTGCACTTCTAATGGTTAGGCAGAAAACTAACACCCGTATTCACAAACGATACTTGCTTAAAGTGAAGCATCAAATCGAACGCACAGTGTTGAATAGAGATCTGTGATTGGTTCGTGTGTGACCCTGTGCGTCCACGCGCACTGTGAGACCTCATAGTAATGTTTATGAATACGGGAAGTGAAAGGCATTGCCTTTATAAGCGGGTTTATAAAAATGTGAGGTGATTATAATAATTGTTAGTGACATGTTACTTACTGAAATGTCGTTTCTGGATGACTAATTATTGGACTTATTTTTCTCTTTAAAAATCAAATAGGGAAAAATATGCGAAGTGAGACCATCAGACCACCCCATCCAACCCGTCTTAAAGTAGGCCAAATTCTTCATAATGCTTCTTGGTGAATCAGAGAGGGCCAATCCTCCATGTGCCTCTTGGTAAATTAGAGAGTCCTGCTCCAGCAATGGAGACTTATTTGCTTACCATGACTTTACATTAGGTGTTCTCGCTAGCGACTGCGTTAAATAATGACATGAAAATATGATCAATTGTACAGCTCCCTAAGCGGTTATTTTTAAGGACTAAATATATTTTTTTATTTTTAAAATGTAAACTCGTGGGCAAAAGCTACTGATCAATGTCAATGTAATGTTGCTCTGTAACACAATAATAGGTACACTGCGCTGCCTAAAAATATTCATCTCACTTTTTTAAAACTACACCTTCTGTACCTACTGTACATGTCCTTTATTCTTTGCCCGTGTCGAGCAGCATTTTCAGTCGACAACTTCGATTGCTTTGCCCTGCCTTTTTATTTTGCCTTCAAGGAAAGTATTGTTAATCCTCACCCGATTGTTTTGAACTGGATAAGATTTGAATCCAGTATTTCTTGGCCCTCGTATTGTTTTCTACTAATATGGTTTAGCTTGTTTTTTGCGAAATTGGCTGCTTTTAAACTTTTTAATTATCAAACCACTCAGTGAACCTATGTTCTGGTGGGCCGATAATATTCAAATTCTCCAATCAGAAGAAATGATCGCATAACTGCAGTCTGCCGTGTGGTGACGGCAGAGTAGAATACATTTGTCACCAACCCCTACTCTTCCCGCGGGTGTCGTAAGAGGCGACTTAGGGACAGCGCTCTCTGAAAAACATCAATCTTTCAAA